GCCATCGCTGGTAGCATCTCTAGTAGGTTGGAGGCCATCGCTACTAGCATCTCTACTAGGTTACTAGGTTGGAGGCCATCGCTACTAGGGTGGAGGCAATCGCTAGTAGCATCTCTAGTAGGTTGGAGGCCATCACTACTACTGTAGGGTGGAGGCCATCGCTACTAGATGCAGCTCGCACCATCTCCCGTCCCTGTCCGCCTCAAATGCATCCGCGGGCGCCGCGGACGTCCTCACATGCTTCGGCCTTGGCGTCGTGGGAGCCATGGCCGTTTTCAGGTTCTGCGGCGGAAAATCAACAGTGAAAACAGGGTTGAGAGTAGTATGGCCAGGAGCTACTAGTAGCGTCCTTGCTCTTAGTACCGATACCCCTTTGTTCCTAGTAGCGTCCTTGCTCCTAGTAGTACGGCCAGGAGCCCCTAGTTGCGTCCTTGCTCCTAGCGATGCCAGGAGCCACCTTGTATCTGGCCTGGGAACGGTGGCATTTGAGAATGCACCCTCAGAACCGCTCTGCTGGAGGGTGCGTTTCTTCGTGTTTTCCTCACAACCAGAGTCTTGATGTCAAGAGTATCCTTTCCTAATTACTGGCATGTCTTGGAACACGCAATACTTCAGAACAACCTCTGAAAGAACCACATCGTGCAACATCTTGGAACAATCGTTATCAGGTTTAGACTGCTCTCCTCCGATTCATCTCGCCCAGTGACCCGCTGATGGCACTTCCGTCGTAGCGGAGCCCATTGCCTGGCGGAGTTCGGTTGTGGTGGCTATGTGACTCAAGAATTGGAAGACCCACCTCTCCCAGGTCTTTCTCCAACCTAAATAGCAATGGCCTCCAACCTAGTAGCGATGGCCCCCACCCTAGTAGCGATAAACTCCAACCTACTTGCGATGGCCTCCACCCTAGTAGCGATGGCCTCTAACCTAATAGCAATGGAGGATAGGTGGAGCATGTTGACACCACCTATATGACTTGACACCACCTGGCGATTGCTCAAAAAGGCAAGCGCATCTCACGGAGTACACTGGCTGTGTGTGGCAGTAGGTCCACCACAGAGTTTTGTCACTGAATGAAAAAGCTGGACCTCAGATCCAAGCGATTCAGCAGCGTGTGGCAGTGGGTCATAATACACAGACTAATACACAGGAAACTGTCCACAGTCTGGAGCTTAATCGCGTTTGGGCCGCGCTGTAAGCTCTGTGCACGGTGCCCGCCCCCCTCCGTTTGGGGGCAAATCTCCGACTGCTGGAAGCAGCTTCCAATCCAATGAAGTGGGATGTTGCACTTCTGGCCAAACCAGTCGTTCTCTAAGCAGGTCGCTTCTGTGCCGCCACCCCACGCTTCGGTATCCTATGAAACTCGGAACTCATGACGCAAATTGAGTTCACACCTGGCCGACACCCACACGAACTACCGTCCCCAGCTCTTTCTTCCAAAGTGGGTTCCCTTTGTCCTTGGGCTGCACACGTTTCATGGAAAACACCAACGAAACCATTGTTCCATGGAAATCAAACCTCTGCCACCTCCACTGCCACCTCTGCTTGGTGACATCGAACCAAAGTGAGACAAATGTCGGACGACCCGCCTTGGAGGCTTCGGAAGGGTCGCGCCTCTGCTTCGGCCAGGAAAGAAGCAAAAAAAACTCAGTTGAAACGACGCCCCAATCGGTTGAAACGATGTCCCAAGACATGTTTCACGGTGGCTGCAAGCCCTACAAGAAAGGTATGAGATTGAGTCAACAAAAGCATTCTTCGCGTTATACTATGGTGCACATGATTTCCGTGTGCACTTGCCTTGCTTGCGCCAGTCCGGTAGTGGGTCAAATTCTCCTTAAGTGGGGGATGGTCATCCTACCCTTAACAAGAACCCCGCACAAAAGTCTGCCACCGGAGCCAAAACACAAAACACGAGCAGGAGCCAAAACTGGTGTTGCTTCGCGATCAGACATTGAGCACGCTCGAGTGTTTCGAGCGATGTGTGGATGAGGTTGAGATGAGCCAAGACAAGATGGTGACCAGACATGTCCGGGGCTGAGAAAAGGTCCGTGAGATGATGGGAGGAAACAAACAAGGGACCTAATAAGACAACAGTTTGGGTTTAAGTGACCAGCTGGAATCGTAGAATCGTAGACGAAATGAAACTAAACATAAAACAGCCTTGTTTTCAACAATCCGTCCACTCCCTTTGGCTCTTCATCTATGGCTATTCTTAGTATTACTGAATTGCTTACAACACCTCTAGTCCCTTGTCCGTCTTTGGCATCTTTCTATTAGTCTGTATGCTTCTCTTGTGTTGTTCTGGCCATAGTGCCCCGCTGCCTCAACACCGAGCGCGCGTGTAGCACGCAACTGCACCTGAATGGCAGTGGTGCACTGTGAGTCAGAGTAGAAGTTGATGTTGTTCACCACCTTGGGCGGAAGTCCCCAGTCATGTCCTCACGTTTTTTGGGCACGGAATCTCATGCAGGAAATGTTGAAAAGTTCGGGTGATTTCGACACATTTCTGCCATGTCCAGGCAATTAGGTGATTAATGTTTCTTCAGGGTCGACTGCATGTACCTTAGGGGTGCACTATGCCATTGGGCCGTCTGGGCCCGCCCAAACCAACCCCCACAGCGCGTTGTGGAACCCCTGGCTTCTCTCCAGGATTGAGGCCTAAAACAAACCCCAACTTGCCAATGATCCTGAACAAGCGCAAACTTGGCAAGGGGTGAGTGGGGTAAGGGAAAACAAAAATGAACCAAAGCGAACCTGCTGGCAACCTGCAGCATCAGACCAGTCCACCAATGCGCGCAACATCTATCAGCTGAATGCGCCCACTTTGCCCAACACAGATCGGCAAGATCGGCAAGGACGCCGGAGCCTCAACTCCTTGAAGGGGCAAGAAAACTCGTCAGAGGGATGGAAAGCAAGACTGTGAAAGCCGTCAGTCTATCGAAATCAAAAGAGAGCTTTCAAAATCAAATCAAATGACTTTCCTCTCCAGAACTGTTTAGGACTTCATGTCTACAAAACGATCCTTACATGTGACATTCCTCCGAGGCATGTCGTGCCTTGCAAAGAACCAGGTACCCAGGATCTGAAGAGCGGAAGCTGCAAACCAGTCCGGCAAGCAACGGAAAGCGAGAAGCGAGCGGGCGCGGAGCTAGCGCTGGTCCGCAGATTTCGACGGATTTCGACGGACGTCGACGGAGTTCGACGGCTTTCGATGGTTTTCGTTTGCGTTTCTGCAGCGTCACTTTTTGTGGTCTCCGCACGGGCATCGATCAGGCCACCAGACTCTCAGTGAGCACTCGTTTGGGACAAAGTAGGTTTTTCTTACGGGTCTCTTGGAGGGGTGTGTGTGTGTGTGTTTGTGTGTCACTAAGGGCTACGAGTAGGTACATGCACATAGAGAAGTGTGCACGAAAAGCCCACGTCAAGGATGGAGGTGCGAAAATTAGAGGCCTGAGGCGTGAGTGTGTGTGTGAAACAGGGTTCTCTGGCGCCGGTTGCTGGCAGTGACTCTGGCCTCAGTCAGCAGGCGCTGCGTCGCTTCTGGCAGTGACCTTAGTGTATACGTCCATGGCGTGTTCGATAGTGGGGGAGTGTAGGTGAAACTCTGTCAGGGTGATTGGAGATCTTTTGTCGGTCGCACACGTTCACATGCCTCGCGCTTACGGCGAGATGGAGTGTGGGCAGGAGGTCGTCCGAAGTATCACTTCGCAAGGGCGACCAAATCTACAACAGTCCACTGAACGTCACTCTTCCATGTGCGTGGGCGGATGGTGGCCTCCCACGTTGTGTCCGCGGTGTTCTTCTGGTTGAGGGTCTCGAGGAAGGCAGTTTGAGCGGCCTCGTCGTTGTCGCATTTGGTCCACATGGTGGCCAGATCATCGAAATTCGTGTCCGTGAAGCATGCCAGGAGGTCTTGCCAAGCGGTGATGGTGAGCGTACCAGTCGAGTCCTTGACCTGGAGGGGCAAACGGAGGCGGTCGCCGTTGTCGCCGCACCAAATGTTCATGTGGAAGAGGCTCTCGGTGAATGGTACGATGTGAACGTGGACCTTCATGGCGGTGTCGGCGGCAGTGGTCTCTTTCACGGCTGCGATGGTGCTGATCGTCAAGTCGGCGGTCTTCAAAGCCTTCTTGGGGCGCTCAGCGCTCGGTTCTGGTACCTGGGATGTTGTTCGTCCGTGCAGAAGGGGTAAGAAGGGTTAAAATGAAATAAGGTCACTGGACTACAAGCAAGGTGAATGAAGGACATTAGTGAGTCGACGCGGGGCCTTCAGCCAGCTGGGAGGCGGCAAACACCACGTAAGGCGGGAAGACTCGAGGGAAATGAGGCCCATCCACGATCGCTTCTGCACCGACATGACCAGCAAGGGTTGTCCAGTTTCGAAAGTCGCTCCAGACATGCTGCCAACCATGTCGATGGGTATGGTCTGGTCACCTGTAGCCGGGTAATGGTGGAAGAGTGCGTCAGTGGTATATAGGGGTTTTAAAAAAAAAATATATATATATGAGTTGTCAGTCGATGTTGCAGTGCAGTCCAGGCGCCCCATTGCAAGCAGATGGTACGTCTTGGAAGCGCGGGCGGTTTGACCGGCGACGGCGCCGGTCCGACGTGTTGGAGGATGCCGGCGACGTTGAGGGGTTGGTTCTCATCAACTTGGTCAAGGCGTTCGGGTGGAGTGATGGGTTGTGGCTTTAAGATCGTGTCCGGGATGCCGTCGAGGACTCGCTGCACTTGCGTGCGGTATTGAAACCGTAGGCCTGAGGAACAGCAGGTGGAAGGTAGTTAAAAATAGAAGGGAGTGAGTCGTATGGGAAGAAGGTGTGACAGAAGGGACGGGACTAGAAGAGTTTAGTTTAGCAGTTTAGCCGAGAGTTGACCAGTTGGATCGAAACAGGGAACAAAAACACGTTAAAAAAAGACTTATAGGGTCACGAATGCTTGTCAAGTTGCAAAGATCGCTGGCGATTCCGGTGTAGGATTGACCCTTGTAGGCACGGACACAAGATCGCTTCACCAGCACACTGTGGGCAACGCCATGTGGTAAGGCTTTCCACTGTTCGAAGGCTGCCTGCCCGGACGACGGTCGAAAAAGTGCGGCAACAAGGGGGTGGTTCTAAACGTGGTCCGATCGCGATAGTCCCGGCCTTGTTCGCAGTGATTTCAAGTTCGTCTCCACCACGTGTAAGGAGGCGTGCGACGAAGGTGCGCTCCTGCCATTGCTCTTCGATGCGCGATGCAGTGATGCGAAAGATAATGGTCTGCTCCGTCTTAAAGAGGGAAAGCGCCATGGCGGGCGAGGGCGTGAGTGTACGGCGTGAACGGATAGAATCTGCTCACTAATGGCGGCGGTATGTGGTTGGCGGGTGAAACAACGTCAGCGCACGAGGTTCAGTGTAAGCTAGCTGAGGCGTGGGCTGTTGGTCATATGTTCGACGATGACAAAGGCGGCAGCGCCGTACCTGTTGGTGGCGAGGTCTTGGCTCTGCTTCCCAGCGCAGGAAAGATGCTGAGGTGTGGGCGGATGTTGATCAGGTCCGCGAGGTTGTAAGGTGCAAATGGCTGTCCGAGACCTGTCGATCGTGGGCCGTGAAGTGGAGACAAGCGGCCGGCAGCAATGAGGCGTGGCAGACGTACCGTTGTAGCTGCGGGAGCACTTCCCATTACTGGCACAAACTGAGTTCGGAGGCATGCCAACCCAGTCCGCGATGTGGCCAGGTCCGCGAAAGGAGAAGAGACCAGTAGATCTGCGGGTAACACGGCGTCACGCGCACGATGTCGTCAGGAAGTATATGGCGCAAGTCTGACGCGGCTATATTGTCCGGGGCAATCAATGTGAGGTATGGCCATGGCGGCGTGGTCGCGGTAGCTGCGTGCAAAGGTAGTGCAGTGACCTGTTGTAATTGGCTATCTGTATTCACGATGGCCTGGATGGCCTTCTGGGGGCATGAGTAGTGAGTCGTGTGTATGTCTGAGGAGACGTGTGTGTGTGTGAGCGTGTTTTTGCGTATGTGTGCATGGTATATGTTCACGTCGGTGCGAGGTTGTAGAGGAGGATGTAGTGTTGTCGGGCAGCCGCGTGTACATCTTCTATGGGCTGCGGCGGGGCGGCGTCATCACAAAGAAGCCAACCTCGCGTCGGATGAGAGACGACGGTGGTGTAGTGCCCGTGCGTGAGAGTGCCTGCGTGCAGGACGCTGGCGTAGAGACGGTAGCTTCTCTGACAAAGATGAACGGTGGTGGGGGCGTGAATCGGGCGGCTGTCTTTGTGGATGGTGCCACCATCAGGGGGCTGGAGCCATCGACCAATGGTGATGAGCAGTGCGGCGCCAGTTCGTGTCAGTGTCGTCTCTTGCGTGGATGCGCCGGTTGCGCCGCACTCGGGACAGCGTCGGTCAGGAACAGAGGCGGAGCTCTGTTGGAGGTGAGCTTCCAGGCTGTTGCTGGATTCGTAGCACATATCTGCGGGGATGTGAAATGGTAAGATGTGAGTAGTCGTGTTGCACGACGCAGAGCATCTTTGGCAAGTGATAGTTTGGGTTGCCTCGGCTCCAAACGCAAGCCAAAAAGGTGTGTTTCGGATGTGGTTGGGGTTCGACGCAAGTGTCTCACATCTGTGAAGGTTAGACAGGATGGCCATGAGGGCTTCGTGTGCGTCTTGGTGGTCGGAGTTGGCGAAGGATGGATTCCACGCGCCGCGGGTCTCCGCAAGACGGGGGTGGAAAGGTTCGTGCTCGCTGCGAAGGGATTGGATGTCTGCGGCAAGTGCCGGAGCGCAGCACACACTTGGTAAGTGCGTTTGACAGCCTAGGTGTTGCGTCAACCACGTTTGCAGGGCAGGGC